TGTGCCTTGTTGCTGTGGCCGATGGATGAATGGATGGCTGGATGGATGGATGTGGATCGTATTGGCTGGTCCACAGATGCGCACCGATACTGGTCGGTCGTGCCGGCAGTACAGTGCCGTTGCTGACAGGCTGGTCGATTCATACACAACCGATGGGAGGCTGGCTGGCTGGTGTGGCTGGCTGGCTGGCTGGTGTGGCTGGCTGTTGTGGGGGGTCTCGAGGACAGAGTGAAGCGAGCGAGAGAGAGAGATCCCATCATGTCAATCGATCGATCGGACGGCCTCTGTCCCGTTTTCCAACATCTCATGTACCTCTGAGCATACACACATCCCCCGCCGAGGCAGCCAGCGAGTGCACGTGCCCCCGACCCACAGGCGAAGTGGCACCAGCCGTCTGTCTGTACAAGTGTGTGGATGCGCTTCACGGACATGCATACAAACCTGTCTGTCTGTCTGTCTGTCTGGGTGTGTACGCACCACAGCCTTCGTTGCCTGTCTGCCTGAGCACTCACGCACTGGCGGGCCCCCACAACAAAGGGCGACGGGGCGGCCGAATGTGCCGACACAGACAGACAGACAGACAGATACCCCTGTTTGTGCCGCCAGCTGTGTGTGTCAGTGTGGCTGTCTGTCTGTATGAACACTCTGCTATACTCCCACCCACCGGATGTATTTGTTTGTTGCTCATCCATCTCACCACACACACACAGGTCGTCCAGGCCAGCTGCCTCATGACCTGGACAGACGCCAGGCAGCCAAGTTTTGATCCGTTCTTGCCGCTTCCTTGCTGTCTGTCGTGTTATTTGTGTCGGGCTGAGGGGTCGCCGTCTTTCTGCCGACGGCGGCGGCCCCAATCATCTGTCGATAGGACGACTTGCCATTCACTCACTCAGTCAGTCACTCACACGACCTGTGGATGTATGGCTTCCCTCCCTCCCTCCCTATGCTGCTTTGCCAGCAATGGTTTAAGTGTGTTTGCCCTCGGCGACCGATCCGATGTTCACGTGCACCAGTGAAGGACCCACACTGACTGACTGATGGATGGATGGATGGATGGATGCGTGTATTTGTCAGCTACTCGCCCCCCCTCAGCCCTCCCTGTCTGTCTGTGTCTGTCAGTCAGTCTGCCCACCTGTCGTCGTGCAAAGGCCAGAGGGAAATGACTGACAACGGCACCAGTGGCGTGGGAGGGGGGAGGGGGGAGGGAGGGAGGCACCTGCAGTGCACCAGGGA